CATGAAGCAGTTTTAAGTATAATCTGTATTATTAATATTTTCTCCATCACTTTGTCAAGTCTGTGCTAATTTCTGTGGTATAAATTCTCTATCTATGGCCCATTTTAAGCTACCAGTATGGTATCATTGAATGTAAAGTTGAGAAGAGTTGTGAAGTAATGTATTATATATTATTTCTGTCATACAGTTATAATACACATAAACCTGAAGAAACATGTGTAATAGAAAATTGTAGTAAAATAATTGAGAAATGATGGATTTTAATATTTATGACTTTTACTTTTAATATTTATTTAATTGTAAGTTTATATAGTTTAATTTTTAATAATGGCTGCATTTGACAACAGACTTGCAAACTGCCAAAAATTTAATAGGAGTCTCTTCTCATAAGCCAGTTACAGTTGGTCTTGTACACCATTGCAAAACAGAGCTCTGCTGCTCTTTATTCCATGGTACTGTCTTATCCCTTACGTATTCCACGCCGTGTTCGCACCTTGTAAATAAATAATTCCTTAATTAGACTCTCCTCACATTACCCACATACAGTGTGCTATTTTCTGTTTTTCTGCTAGAGTCTATATTGATAAAAGCATGAGAATAAACTTTATAGAAATAGATGATAGGCCTAAGGAATTAGAAAAAAAAAAAGAGAGAGAGAGAAAGAGAGAGAGAGAGAGAGAGAGACAGGGATGAGGCTCAGAACATTTGGAGATCAGGAAGGAAGGAACAGTAAAAGAGACTGAGTAGTAATAGGTCATGAAATAGGAAGAAAAACAGAAGAATGTGGTGTCCTATATAGATAGAGAAGAAAGTATGTTAGGAAGGAAGGTATGGTCAATTCTGCCAGATGCTTAGAGGTCAAGTAACATGAAGACTGATAACTGATCATTCATTGGATTTGGCAAAATACGTATTGTTGACAACTTGGATGAGTGAGCCTTCATTGACATGGTGGGGATGAAAGTCTTATAGTGAGTTAAGAATGAGAAGTAATTAAGTGGCAACAGCAAGTATAAAGAATTTTCTGATGAGTTTTGCTATTAAGGAGAATAGAAAAAAAGGAGATTTAACTGTTAAGGGATATGAGACTAGTCATCCACCTAACATGGAGGGATACAAATACATGGGGATGCATGCAAATAGGTTGGCATAGATAGTTGTTGGAATGTGTTGTGGTTGTTTTCTCACTGCTTCTATTTGTCCAAATAAAAATGGAGCAATGTCATTCGTTGAAAGTAAAAAATAAAGGGATGTTTGAGGTTTAAGGAATGAGGGGATGCTATTTAGCTTTCATTATTTTTGACTTTGTGTTATTTTACTTAGGGAGAAACAAATTGAACAGGAAAATGTAGTAGGATTGCATGGGCAGTGTATGAAAAGCAAAACTTTTGCTCGTTATTTGGCACATATTAGGAGATTCATTTATTTATTTACAAATGTTTTTCCAGTGCCTGCTGTGTGTTGAGCACTGTTCTAGGGGCAGTGAACAAAACAGAAACAAGTCCCTGCCTGCTCTTTGATACATTAGAACATAGGCTGGCAAACTTTTTCTGTACAGAGGCAGGTAGTGTATAATTTAAACTTTGTAAGCCAGCTGGTCTTTGTTGGAAACTCTCAACTCTAGCATCGTAGCACAAAACAAACCATAGACAATACAAAATAGAATGGGCTAGGCTGTTGGAATAAAATCTCATAAAAACAAGAGGCAGACTAGATTTGGTCCACAGGCCATTGTTGGCCAGTCTTTATGTTAAAGGGTGTTTGGTGCAAAGAAGACAAGGAAAGCACAGAAGTGGATAGGAAGTATTTAAGTTGAAGAATTTTATTTTTAAATGCAATGAACAGGTGAAGTCATGCTGAGAAGGTATCATTTAAGCCAAAGCTTAAAGAAGGTAAAGACTAAGCCATGTGGATGAGCGTTCCCCAAAGAGACTGCAGTGTAAATGTTCTTGCAGGACTGGACATTGTGTTCGTACAAGGTGGCTGAGCAGAATGAATGAGAAGTAATATTAGATGAAATCAGGGATTTAAGAGGGAGAAGGATAACTTAGGTTCTTGAAGACTACTGTTAAAGACTCTAAGTGAAATGGAACATCATGAGGGTTTTGAGTGGGAACTGACATGATTTGAGTTGCAGCATTACGTGGCTGCTTTATTGAGAAAAAAACGGGGGCAAATCTGGAGTCAAAACTAATTTGTGAATGAATAAAAGAGTGAATGAACGAATGAATGAACAAGTGAACATGATTGAGGATACATTTCATGTAGTTGAATATTTGAGATGGGACGTATCATCTGAGGAGTCTGAAGGAAATCATAGAAGCCAGAAGCAAGTATAGAATGAGAGGACAATTACGGCTAGAACCTTAGGAATAACCAGGCCAGGGACTGACAGAGAAAGTGGAATTAGTGAAGGTGATAGAAAAGGACATATGAGGGGTGCCTGAGTGACTCAGTCGGTTAAGCCTCCCGATTCTTGACTTCAGCTCAATCGTTGGAGCCCCACAGCGGGCTCTGCACACTGACCCACAGATCCCTGCTAGGGATTCTCCCTCTCTCTCTCTCTTTCTGCCCCCCCCCCATTGCTCTCTTTTTTTCTCAAAATAAAAAAATAAACTTTAAGAAAAAAAAGGACAAGAAAATAAGGAAAAAGATCTGTCCTTTGGTATTTACTGTATTTTTCATGTCTTTGGAGAGAGAAGTTCAGTAATGATGGACTAATCACAAAGTTTCTCTACATGAGAAAACTTAAATTTGTTAATGAAAAAAAAAAAAGGAAAAAGGAGGTAACTTGAATGGAAACCTGTAGACCTCAGAGGAGTTAACATTTTTCTACAACAGGCTTCATAAAAGTAAGCCAATGAATTAATTTCATTATAAGCATTATATCTACTTAATTCATTAATTCATTAGTGTTTGTTGGCCATTATCATTTACTAAACACTCTGTCAGGAACTGATCACTTCATTACAGTCTAATACATTCTGCTGGAAATCAGTAATGACACTGACATACAATGTTATTTACCTATCTACAAGAAATTCTAGACGATTCCAAGGAAATCAAGAGGTCAATATGTCTGTATAACTAATCAAAATAAAACAGTTAAATAAAATATCACTGGCTTCTTGCACTTCTATAGCACCACAGTCTTGCCAGATATTAACCAAGGAGTTTGTAGGTTAAAAAAAAAAAAATGATATGATGAAACCAAAAGCAAAGAGTAGAGGTAAAACAAAAAATCATATAATGGTTATTAGAGCAGATGAAATGGAATTCAGGTCACATAATTTTTCAATTCTATTTACCTGTTATTCAAATTTCTAGTAAGTGTCTTATTTATAAATATGCGTATAAGAACTTACAATTTTTGGTAAGACCTTAAACATGTTTTATTGTTCCCTGATTTTAAATTTCTAAATATAGCTTTTTCTGCTTTTTAGCTGTCTAGAGATATGCTGGTCCATGTGACTGTTTGCTATAATTTACTTATAAATTTAAGTAAATTTACTTATAAAGTCAGCAGTCCCAGGTTTCACATTTTTCTATTGTAATACACATTTAAATCTTTTTTTTTTTATTTTTAAAAAAAAATTTTTTTTCAACGTTTTTTTATTTTTATTTTTGGGACAGAGAGAGACAGAGCATGAACGGGGGAGGGGCAGAGAGAGAGGGAGACACAGAATCGGAAACAGGCTCCAGGCTCTGAGCCATCCGCCCAGAGCCTGACGCGGGGCTCGAACTCCCGGACCGCGAGATCGTGACCTGGCTGAAGTCGGACGCTTCACCGACTGCGCCACCCAGGCGCCCCCACATTTAAATCTTTGAACTCTCCTATTGAATAAACTCTGCAATGACTTTGAGCTCTGGATGTCGAGCTAGGTAACCTTGAACCTCCCATAAATTGGAGAAAACCTCTAAAACAGCCAAAACAAAGCTCTTGACTTTCTAAATGTAACGTTTGTTTGACTCCTTGACTTAATTGTGAACTCTGTTGTTTTTCCTTGACTGCTTGCCACTATCATTGAAGTTAACCTTTTTCCTACTTAGTGGAAAATCATGCTTCAATGGATTAAAAGACAAAATTGCATTCCTTCTAATTAAATCTTAAAAAGTCTTTAAGATGTGTCTTGAAAAAACAAAAACAGATATGTTTGTGAATTCTCCTAAATTATGATCAAGGGTAATGAATCCTCCCTTTAACTGTTTGTCCTTCTTTTTCAGTCTGTTTGAAAATAAATTTAGTGTGTTACTTAAATTCTAACTTTAATTCTTTAGTTTTATCTCACCAATCTTCACTTTTGTTTTTTAGTCTTTCAAACAGTCTTTCATTCTGTGTATATGGCTTTTAAAAATTAAAAAGTTATATATGCTTTTGGTAACAAAATCAATCAGTATAGAATGGTGTAAAATAAAACATGAAAGTTCTTTTGCACTTCCCCTAATGACAAACCACTTCCTAGAGGTAGTTATTATGAAGTTTGGTAATGGAATGGTGTCGTGTTTCCAGCCTGTTTTCTCTACATGTAAACATATATTCACATTCACGCTCATATGTGTTCTACACTTTGTATTTTTGAATTATTATATTATGTGTGGCAAAAATAAACACAATTATTAAGAATGAGTGAAGCGTTAAGTGAATGAGTGGATATATATATATATATATGTATATATTTCATGAGATATTTGAATATTTTAAAAATGCTGCTGCCGTATTGGAAAACTTACTTTCTCCTCCTTTTTCGTATTATAGTGATTTAGTAAAATGCCTTTTTATTTTTTATTTTTTAAAAAAAATTTTTTTAATGTTTATTTATTTTTGAGACAGAGAGAGACAGAGCATGAACGGGGGAGGGTCAGAGAGAGAGGGAGACACAGAATCTGTAGCAGGCTCCAGGCTCCGAGCTGTCAGCACAGAGCCCGATGCGGGGCTCGAACTCATGGACCGTGAGATCATGACCTGAGCCGAAGTCAGACGTCTAACCGACTGAGCCACCCAGGCGCCCCTAAAATGCCTTTTTAAACATTTAGAAAAATTCTTAAAGCCCACATTAGAATTAGTTCAGACAAACAGGTGACAAATGATAATTTGTCTTTTTCATTTTCAAAAAGATTTCTGTTACGTGTTTTTTGCTTTCTATTTATAAACTAAGTAGATTCAAAGTGTATAGAAAAATATAGCAGTATTGAGAGGTACGGATGATTTCATTAAATCATGTTAGCATTTGTAACATGCCATTTACTGCCTCCTTCTAAACAGACCGTTCTAACATTACATAATTTCAAGTACAGATCCAACGTATTCTACTACAGTGCTTTCTAGAAAGAGACAGGGAAGAAACGTGGACTCCGTTACTGTGTTTTTGCCACTTATGAACAAATTACATTCATTTGGCTTATCACATATATGTAATATCTCTTTGGGATTTATCATATATATATATGTATAAAAACATTAATTTTGAAACAGTAAGGTTCTGTAAGTGCCTGTGAATTCATAATACACGGGGTGCCTTGCAACCAAATATATATTCAGTTCCCAGCATTATTGGTGTTTCCAGTTTCAATAACTATAATATTACCACCTTTGGACTTTTATGGCATCTTTCATCCGTGGATCTTAAAGGGCTTTACAAACATTAATTCGCACAACATTCTTGTGAGGTACAGAAATGTCATTAACCCCATATTACAGATGAGGAAACAAGCGCAGGAAGGTTAATAATACATGCACCACTCTCTACTTGTACAGTGCCTTTCATTCAGGGAACTCTAAGCACCCTGGACCCTTTCTTTGTGATGCTGGTAGAGAACAGAACTGTCACAGACTTACAGATTGACTCCTGGCAGACTTTTACCAAATAGTATGTAGTTTGAGAAATCGCCCCCATAGTATATAGATCAATAAATAATATTGAGTTATATTCAAATAGTTTTCAGTTGTAATTGGGAATCGTGGATTCTGATTTATCCTTAACTTCCTCTTTAGTTTTTCTGTCTAGTTTTACTTTTCCCCCTAGGTAGGATTAGGTAATTATGCAACATGGGCAACAGACTATATCGAATTGTGTTTTGCATACAAAAAAAGAGCACTTCGAAATTAACGAACATACAATGACATGATACCGGGTTTGTTGCTGCTTTTCAGGCATTAATGGTTACTCATTTAGATGGAAAAGAGAAAAGAAACAACTTAAGTTTTATATATTTTTCTAGTTTTCATCTTCTTTGCTAATCTTTTTTAATGTCGAAACCAGTTTTAACGTCTTCCAACTACTCAGTCCTCAATATTCACATATTCGGAGTCGTATTCTCTATGGTTAAGAGACAAGGGGCCTGATCTGAGTCACCCACAGCCAGAGTTTTCTCTATCACTGATCTCTTCCTAAAAACATTGGAGCTCCTCTTTCCAGTACATCTCCATGTAGCTTTCCCTCTCTCAGTCTTTTTACTATTGGATTTTACTAAGGGATCCATTAGTATTATTTCTTTGCTCCTCTCTCGCCCACCTAAGATTATTAACGCGTTTTGTGTCCTGAAGGGCTCAAGGTACTGTGCTGGGCACTCGGAATACGGTGATATACGAGACAGACTGGCTTACAGGAGCTTACAATGTGGATGTGGAGACAGACCTTAAAGGGGAAATTATAATTGCATCAATTACATGACCATGCAAAAATCTCAGTGGAAAAAAAAAAAAAAAAAAAGATCTGTAAATGGTGAGTCCACAGGCTGGTAGCACAGTCCTCACTTAATAGAGAAGAACTGGAGTAGAGAAGAACTGACCAGTGATTCAGGGAGAAAGAAAATACCTTGATTCCTTGATTCCTGTCGACAGATTTTGAAACGCGATCCTTGGAGTAGAGACCAGCTGAGTGGGGGACCTGTGCTTATTCACACGGGACAGGCTGGAGTAGCTCGAATGAAATCTCTCAGGAGTGCTTCAGGTGGGCCCGTACAGAAGCTAGCTGGGATGCTTGCATCAAAACGTAGGTGACGAATATATAAGAAAGAAATACAAGAAGCACAAGAGAAGAAGACACATCGTGTGCGTTTCTTTTTCTTTCAACGTGAAGGGAATCTTTCCCTGCCTAAAAGTTGCTGCTTAGACTTGCACACTGTCTTCCCTCATCACTGCTTTCTGGGAATCTCCTCGCTAAATCTTGACTTCACCTGTTCCTTCCGCACCTTCATCTAGCAATGCGGAGCCCGTGCTGAAGGCTCTTGGTCCCCCTTTTGTCCCTAAATATTGACCGGCTTTATTCCCTCACAGGAAAAGGATTGCCCCTGAAGGAGCAAAGAATCTTTTTAAAGATACGGTTGTGGGTACCAAAACAGTGTTTGCCTCAGGCCAGCATGCTTTAGCTTAATTGTGCACAAGAGCACTTGGGGTGATGTATGAGCACACGTGTGTTTGAAGGAGTGTTGCCCACAATATATTTCATCAAGAGGGGGCAAGAACATGCCTGTGGACATATCCAGATTTTCACCGATAGG